AATTAAATTAAATTTCCTAATTAAACATTATTTATTATTTCTAAGAAATTCTGTAATATCCCTAATTTAAATATATAATTTAAAAAACAACTAAGTGTTTTACCGCACCTATAAAGGCAGAGCCTTAGAGAATATTATTGAAAAATACTATTTAACAATAAATACATTTATAAAAAATATTTATTTATTTATTACTCTAATTGTCAGTCAGAATCAGAGCCATCCGACTGCAATGCCAATCCAATTACGCAAATCAGTTTATCAATCAGTTTATTTATCGCTTTGAATACACAAACAGTTCATGGCATAAACGCTCTGATTTAATACTAGCTTTCTTGATAACTATGTGTGTGTTTGTGCGTGTGTGTATGTGTGTGCGTATGCGTGTGTCGTACGGTAAAAGCCCAAAACAACAAGTGGCCATAAAATTGTTTGGCTAAAGATTTGCAATGTGCAAAACGCTTGAGATAAGCATACAAAAATGTGAATCGTAACCGAAGACGAGAAGAAAACTAATATGAGAGTGAGTAGTTGAAGTTGTTGTTGTTGTTGTTGTTGTTGCTGCAGCTGATTACAGTGTGTGGTAATCACAAAAACAAAAACACACATAAACTAAAAAGGAATAACAATTGGCATATGTATATATATGTATGTATATTCTTTATACATATATATGAGAAAACAAAAACAAACGAAATGAAAAAGAACGAATAAAATGTGTGCAATAAATTTTTGCATTTCGTTTTCTGTGGTTTCATTTTTCCGCTTTTTGATTGATTCATTCATGATTCATATATATTCATATTCATTTCCCACATTTCATTGGGTTTTCTTCTTTAAGCCAATTGTTGAAGAGCCTTCAAAAATGTTTCTGCAAATGTTGTTACATTAAATATTCATATTCATGTACATATATATATATACATATATGTATGTATATATGTACGTATAAAGATTTCATATTCATATTCCGATTCAGATCGCGACAGAGAGAAAGAGATAGCATTACAACTCAGAGAGTCATTTGCATGCTTTAACCGCACTTACCTTGTCCACATTCTCACGCGTCTTGGCCGAGGTCTCCACGTAGGGCACGGACCACTGCTGCGCCCTCACCTGGCACTCGTTGAGCGGCACCTTCCGTTTGTCATTTAGATCGCATTTGTTGCCCACCAGCAGGAACGGTATGCTCTCATCATTTTTCACCCGCAATATTTGTTCTCTGTGTGTGTGTGTGAATGGAATGGGATGGAATCGGTTCGTCAGTCAACAATATTTGCCAAAGTAACGGATAAARTGCTTATCAAACGGTTCGCCTAGCCATGCCATGCCATGCCATGACTCACAGCCCACACACTCAACTTGTGGCCCAACTATCGCGCCTGCTGAGCCACACCCAGTCACACTTCATAATTGTCATATGTCAGTTAACAGGCGCCAGCACCCACGGGCTGTTTGTATTAACTTAAGTCTCGGGCTCTCTCACGCGCCGCCTCGGGCTCTCTGCTCGAAATGAGGTTAATGGGAGCATAAAAACATGGGCCTAGCCTAACAAGTGAGCAATAAGTTGATTAACAGCAAACTATCGAGCAAATAGAGTAGTTTGCTTATATAGGTCAATGGGAGGCGTTAAAGCATGGAGCATATTTTCTATTAAACTAAAAACCTAAAACATATGCTCACCTATCACTCCCTAAAGTTATAGAATGAGTCTAAGCATTTGAAGATTTATGAATACACACATATACAAGAACTAAGATCAGTTTGACATGAACTTCCATAATTGAGAATCAGACGAGATTAAAAAATCGAATTGCTTACTTAAGGAACTATACCTTCACACATAATTATATATGCTATAGTTATTCTTGTTATAGGCTCAGTTCAATCAATTCATGAATGCATTTATAAGATGTATAAAGCTCCATTGTGCTTGGCATAATGCTAAAGTAAAAGAAATCGCAATAAGAGATTGTTTTGCCTCTTCTATTTACTTTCTATAAAAATAACTCAATTGCTTTAATCAGAGCAAAGTTTCGGTCTATAATAAATTTTCTCAGAGTTAAACAATCTAAAATCTCGTTAAACAATATAAGAATATTCTTTATATGCATTACAGTTTATCTATGAAAAGCTATGAAAGTTTGTATATGACAAGAAATTTCTCAAAGTTAGAAATTGATGTCGAGCTATCTAGTCTCTGATATATTTCAACTTGGTTAGGAATTAAAACCCTGAACTTATTGAAAATGTGAGATGTGTATAAAATTTCTATCGACGGCTCCCTTCTAACGTCATCCTCAATGAAATTGTCATCGCAATAGATATAAGCTATTGTATAATCAACAATTAATTCAGGATAAGTTGGTGTAGCTCGTTCGATCATTTTTAGAAAATGAGTATAGCAGATGGAGATCTACCACTAAAGTACATATGTACATAAATATACATACATATATGTATGTACATATATATGTACATAAATATACAGCCGAGTCTCGATAATTTGTACGCCGCTAGATCAAAAATTGCGGATAATTGAAAAAAAAATTCAATCCCCTTGAAAGAAATTTGCTCTCAATAATTTTCGATAATTTGATCCCTTCGTCATTTCGAATTATCGGAACTCTGCTGTATATTCCTGAGCAGGGCAAAGAGCTATATCGATCATGCTAATCTTGACTTGAAATCTTAAATCTTTGAGCTTTACTTTCCTTTTAACTCATCTCCTTTACTTATTATCGATAAGAATCGATAACTTGTGAGGCACTTTATTCTAATCAGAAGTTTTATCGGTCTGTACTTTACGTACATTTACTGCCTAGGAATTACTTTAGACTTTAAGATTATGAATTTCAGACATGGGGCCACTAATTAGAAAGTGTTGCTGAGAGAGCAGCACTTGGTTGGCTGCGACGCTGCTGTGAGACTTGTTTAGGCACACTTGTGGGCTGACACGCCCACTTGACATACACTCGGAGAGGCACCTCACTCACTCACCTGAATTCCTGGGTGGCCTGGAAGCTTTCGTCGTCTGTGATTGAGAAGACGCAGAGGAAACCTTCGCCGCTGCGAAAATAATTATCTCTGATCGCTGCATAGTCCTCCTGGCCGGCTGTATCTAGTATATCTATTTGTACTTCCTCTCCATCGAGCACAACCTGAACGAAGATGTATGTATGTATGTATGTATGCGTTTGTGACAACTGTTGGTCCCCGTCAATAGAGTTTACCTTTTTCCTATAGCTATCGGCCTTGGTGGGCTCGTAGTCCTCGACAAACTCATCGTACATGAACTGCAAGGTGAGGGCCGATTTACCAACACCGCCGCTGCCCACCATGATGACCTTGTGGAGCGCCGGGCCGGCCGTCGGTTTCTTGCTCATGGCGATGGAACGTGTTAGGGGTAGGGGGCGACTGCTGTCCGGGCGGGATTAAGATGCGCTGTACACCGACTCGTCTCTTTGCCAAACGCTCGCTCGCTCGCTCGCTCACTCACTCAGTCACGCTCCGGCGTTTGCTCTGTTTGTTTAGCTGCAAAACAGAGCGGGAGAAAGGGTTGAATGGTTTCGTTAGCTATTTTCGATTGGGCTTCCTGTTTTGGGACATGGCTAAAATAGCCGGCGACAGACAGTTGCCGTTGCCGTTGCCGTTGTCGTTGTCGTTGTCGTTGACTCTCAAGTCATTCAACCGTTCAACAATTGAACCATATACGGCCTGCACTATGTGCCAGGGGTATTGACTTGTTGTGCTGTCTCTCATAACTGTCGAAACATTTGTGCCTTATGTAAGCCAGCTAACACAGTGACACCTGCCTTTAACGGCTGCCGTTTGCACAGGCTTCCTGCATAGCTAACCATAATTATATGCCATTAATGGTTTTTGTTTCTTTACTTTCCAATTTTTGTATACAAAACTAGATTAAACTACTCTAAATAGGATTATTTAATGGCTTTCCGATACGACTGGGACAACTGGTTCGATTCATATTGGAGCTGCATTTTGTCGCGGATATGGATATGGATAAATGAATGAACAAGCGCATGAACTTTATACATACACACATATAAATATTTACACATATATTGTTATTTTTACCCATGCTCCAGGCTATGGCAAACCGATCTCAGTTTATTGCTGTTGTTTCTTGTTAATGCTGTTTTTTTTTGTTTCCTTTGGCTACTCTACGCAAATTGGCAAATGAAGCATTACAGCACAAACTAGTGGGCTATGATCAACTGCAAGATACCCTATGCCAGAGTAGCTTAGCAAACTTTGCTGCAAATTGTATTTTTAAATCTCAAATATGATTATAAAATTATATATTCAATAGCTATCTACAACTAGATCGAGTTCAGTTCACACATCATACCCGTTTGCCATTGGGTACAGGGTACAACAATACAACAACAAAACAATAACGGTTGAATGAACTTTTTACAAACACAGCGCGCAGCAGGCATGTGAATAGCATAATGCAGAGCTGGCCAAAACCGAACTCAAAGGCACAACAACAACAACAATAACAACAACAACAATTTGTTGCTGTTTCTGTTTGTGGCCGCCATTCGCAATTAGCCTCTTGTGACCGACGCGTTGCCGTCATCGATTGCAATAAATTAAGGCGTAAAATTGCGTATGGCTTGGCTGCAGCCGCATGGCAGAAACATAGCCGCAACAAAATTGACACACTCAAAGAAAAACACACACACACACACAGTTAGATGAACGCTCTGGCTGGCTGGCTGATTGACCAGCCACGTGGCCATTTGGCTAGCAGCCAATTCAGCAGTGGGCCGAGACAAGAGATCAAGTTTGTTATAAAAAGAACCGAGCCAAAGAGAGGAAGAGTGCGAAAAGGGGTAGACAGAGAGAGTGAGAGAGAGAGAGAGAGAGGTGGGAAGAGTGCCTAAGAGCCAAAGCGATATAATTACATCGCCACAGCTGATGAGCTGTTGTCATAGACTGATGAGATTTGCCACTGCCAGTGGGAATGTCTAGCCATAACGGTTCGCGTCTACAGTTACAAGAAAACCATGCATTAATTAATCAAAGCTTTACAAGCTATGCCCAAAATAAAGCTATTAAATTATATTGATTCTAGATAAATAAACAGTCGACAAATTGAACAAATTCTTAATTAAAATTTTGTATTGCTTGTCTTTTTAATCTCATAGAATCTCTCTTGATGGCCTAACACAATTTATACATTGTCTTTCATTTGGACATTGAATGCAATATATTTATCGAAAATGAACGATTAATTAGGGAATTACCTATTGAAATTATGCTTATGCATTTAGTTATCGATTGAAACTATTGAAACAGCTATCGATTAAAACTATTGAAATGAATATGGACTCAATTATCGATTAAAACTTTCCGATTGAATTCAACACAATTTATTTTACGATAAACATATTGATTAGAATTCATTCCAATACAAATTATCGTAAAGTGATAATTATCGATTCGATAGTAGGACTATATCTTACTTATTGATATATTTATACAATTGCGATGTCATTAGTTATCGATAAGAAGCATTATGTAATTTAAGTATCTATTGATAACTAGCAACGAAAAAAAAAACTATTGATAGTTATCGATTACAAATAAATTTAATGAGCTGTTGTCATAGACTGATGAGATCATCCATAACAAAACTATATGCAATTTGTACACCGATAATTAAAACTAACAAAATTTTATCTATTGGCAGTTGTTATCGATTTTAATTTTCGATTACGATGAAATATAATAGGACTCTTAGAAGAATAGTGTAACCTAAATTGCTAGTAAATATCGATATACCTTATATTAATATTAATATATATGTACAATTTAACACTAATTGGTTATCGATAAATTGAAATATTGGTCTATCGATACATGTAGATAATAATTGATTGCAATTTGTCTAACTATAGCCTGATAAAAGTTTGCTATTATTTGAGTTGTAGGTTTTTCAGATAAGAATTGATAAGAGTTTAAATTGATTGGATTAGTTGTAAGTTATATTTTATAAAACAATTTCGATGAAATCTCTCTATGAATTATTAATGAATCATTACATATAAGCGAAATAAGTCAATAATGATTTAATCGGCTTTTATTCTAGCTTTTATTCAACTAAATGAAGATAAGCAAATGGGCGTTGTCGACAGCTTCAAGTTCCCATGCTCAATATGAAATATTTAGAAGAATTAATCAGAAGCAAAATTGAAAAGAAAATATAAGAAACAAACAAACAAATAATTTATTATTTGTACTCTAACTAAACAAGTTTTTTTTTTTTAGAGAATTTCTTTTCAAATTGTAAAATTATTTGATTATGTCAGAGCCTAGCATTATGTATATAGTATATGCATTATGATCGTCTGTATAGGGTGATCAAAGCGGAAGAGCAACTAGAAATGTTTATGATGAAAATGATTTATGTGGCCATAAGGTATATATGTATGTAGATGTGTACAGACGTATGTATGTACGTATGTGCGTGCGTAATATTTGAATGAATGAAGGCTTTCAGCCAACATGAATCAGCTCAGATAACAGCTAACAACAAGTGACATTTGTTTTGACAAACACAAAAAAATATATGAGAAGCCCAAGCAGGGGCGTATTAGTATTAGTAACCGCAGCTGACCCACAAAATAAAGAACTGCAATGTGCGCCGCCCAACTGAACTTGAATCGCTTGTGGTCGCTGCTGTTGCCAAATAAGATGAGTTTCGGTTAGACGACGCCTGGGAATTGAAAACAAAAACGGCAAGAGCAGCAGCTGTCAAATAAACTAATGTGCGCAACAAGTACAACAAACAAACAAACAAACAAATGACAAGCAACAGCAACGAGCAACTCGATGAGTGCCACGCGGCGTATGAGTAATCGCCAGCAGCCAAACGAGCGCGTCAATCAATAGACCTGAAACTATACGAAAACAAAACAACAAAAACACGCTCACACACACACATAACAATGGAGCGCCAAAACAACAAAAGAAAATGAACACAAAAACTCCCACGCCCCGCTAAGCTGGCGGCTCTCTCAACTAAATTTCCAGTCACACCAGCATGAAACGAAAAGAAAAACGAGTCAAATTGCTGTAAGCGGGCGTGCCCAAATAGAGCATACCCTAAAGCCCATGCCGTGCCCTTTCGCATTAAGGAATGCATATCGATAATAATCGATTTCTTATATAAAGCAAATTTTAAGTTTGCAAACAAACAAACTACAAATATATCGACTTGGTTACATAATATGTATGTATATATACTAAATATTTATAGGTTCAGTCTCCTTCCGTCTTTCACATAGACTTTGGTAAAACCAGCATACCCAGCAGTGAATTCAGGGCCATATAGAATTTGGTTTGTTTGTTATTCATAGCAAAAGTTTGTAAAGAAGTTTTGCTAAGCCGATAAACAATAACCATTGCAATCGGGCGTTAACGACTGCAGAATACTCATTCAAGGCCCATACGCTGCCGTATCTATATATATTATATATATTTTTGTGCAAATCTTGTACACAATCCTAATAAAAATGCATTTTCCAATTTGCCACGAACGGATCGGGAAAATTTTGATACTTTACACGAATATGTTTTCCAAATTGAAAGTCTCTAGCTTCTATAGCATCGAAGGGATTTACATTCACAGGGACAGACGGACATTGCCCACAACCAATATGCTCATTTTACTTTCGTGAAGAAGGCAAGGAATCAAGATAGCTGCTTGTGGGTAATGAAGAAAGTTGTTTAAATTAGTTTGTTTATTTTTCCCTCAACATAAACCAACTAAAATGAAGCAAGACCCCAATCAGATCAAACAATAACGGATGATTTTATTCCTTTTTAATTAGTCTATTTAAAAAAACGTATACCACAAAATATTGAAAGGTATACAAGGAGTATAGACTCAAGCTATAGTCACATATGACCATTAGACAAGTGATACATATCAGTTCCTTTGCATCAAAAAGTCTCTACTGGAGGCAGCAGACTCCACGCTGCAAACTACACAGAGAAACTAGATTGAGCAAATAATTTAGTAGGGTTTAAGAAGAATGGCTTCAGTGGAGAAGGAAACATCCTAGGGGTGTTTCCCATAGGAATTCTCAAAATTTCCCACTATTTATTAAAATTGTGGTTGTCAGCTTGTTATTCATTTCAAATAAGTTGAAAATAAGGCAAGACTGATAAGATTGCCGAAAAAATGAATCGGAAAAAAGCAATTAACCAAAGTAAACAGATATTTTCTATACATTTATTTGTATATAATCTGAAACTTATAATTATATACATATACATACATACAGTGAGTAACATTAATATTAAGTTTTTTACTTTTCAACTTTTTTCCGATTTATGTACAATCTTTGTTAGTTATGTTAAATATAATATTCATCTACAATTTAGCATTTACACTTTTTTGATTTCAATTAATTATATATGTTTTATAGGCGTTTGAAGTTGATAAATGAAAAACCGATTATTAATGTAATGTATATATAAAATCAATCGAAGCAGTA